GATGATGTCAAATAATGTTGAAATTGATTCCAAACTCCTTTTCTACTTGCAGAAGGTACCAGCTTTTAGCCAGGTTACAGTTTCAGGATTCATTTTGAATGCCAATATATTTATTGTATTTAAATTGTAAATATTTACATTGAAAAATGGGCTAAGTTTGTTGCAAGTGGTCTGAATGTGCACATGTTCAGTACAAACATTTGGTGCTGTGATGGCTGTTCTGTAATAAAGGTAATGATCAAGACTTATTCAATATATTTCTGAAAATTAGCAAGAACCCCATCACACTGCCACCAGAGTCTCATTTTTTAAAACACCTTTATATATACATATATAAATGCAATAATATATATAATTGGATATATAGATATAAAAATGGGAGAAAACACACACACCCTGGATATATTCCAGTATCAATCACTCCAGTGCTATATGCACGGGTAAAACACCTCTCACATCTCACTAACTTCCTTACATCTCTCTATTTTTATTCATCCAAAGGTAACTGCCTTTGTTGTCACATCACTGCTCTGTGATCTCATCTGGTTATTTGTTCAGTTTGTTTTGCTGTTTGACCCTTGATCTCTTACAGACCCTGACCTGTGACATCCTGGGCAGTAGTGATTCTGAACTTTCTGTCCATACATCTATAAAACTGCATTTGGTTTTGTTACAATATTTTGTTTAAAAAAAATCATTTAGCATTATTCTATTTCAGCATTATATTCTCAGTATTTGCAACTCAATCAGTACTTCACAATTTAACTACTTACATTTCCTTGGCATCCCTGCTTATTCCACAAACAAAATACTCTCATGTTGCTACCTACTATTCTTTTAATCTCCCCCTCTAAGCACACCAGCCTGTTCTTCACCTTCCTATCTTCTCCAGAAATTTCTGAACCTGCAGGCCAATTCCAGACAAATATGACAAAGTAGCCTTAAAGATGCTGTATTCCAGCAAGTGCCAAGAGAAACTCTTTGGCACTGGGAGACAAAGAGTATTAGACCTCCCGCTAAGGGAACAGTGATCGTAATTCGGCCGGGCAGTGCCGCCGGGCTTGGGGGCAGTGCGGGGCGGCGGCGCCCGCCCGGCTGGAAGCGGCCTACAGAGGGTGGCGCTTCGTCCTCCTGCTTCGGAAACAACCGCTGCGTGGTGGTTGTGAAGCCCTGGCAGTAGCTCAAACACAGGACAGCCTGGAGCACCGCAGGACTTCAGTGGCTCTGCTGTGGCACTCGGTTGTAATTAATGCGGTGATCCTCCTCTTGCTTTTTGGTAATGGTAATATTAGTGCTGTGAAGCAGCGTTGACCTTGTTCGGGGAGAGGTACGAGGCCTCTCTGCAGTGCCTTCCTGCTATGTGTAATAATATTTTGATGTCTAAAACCCCATGAGTTTGGGTACTTCAACATCTTCCAGAGTCGTGAAAATGTTCAGGAAGTCCTACATGATTTGCTACACGTGGTTGATGGTATTTAAGTGATCTATATGTTAATTTGTGAATGCAAACAAGGATAAAGATGCCTTGCATACCCTAGCTAATAACCGGAGTGGAGAATCGCATGCCTTAGTCCCGCAACAACATAAGTGCAACTTGCTATCACACAGAGCATAGTTACAGGTACCATACACTGTGCCTGGAAGACGGTGGATGTAAAAACAGGCCAGTGCATAAGCACTGTGCTCCTGATTTTACATACGCTTTAGAACTCTGTGCTTTTCTTCCATGCACCTTTTCTCTTCGGGGTTCCCGTCACTCACGGCAGAGCCTTCCTGAGGTCCCTGGCTGTTGTGCTGGCAGGGGTGGAGCACGCCCAGGCCTGCATGACTGCTGCAGGGAGGGAGCCAGGCCAGGGCATGGAGGGAACATGAGCTGAGTCGTCAGGCTGACTGGTTACATCTTCATCAGGCAGTGGATAACAGGAAGAGACCGGACAAGACTCAAGAGATATTACTAAAGATGATGTGAAGCTGACTGGGAAGAACTCATATGCTGAAAGTGATAAACACTTGGAATGGAAAGGCGTATCTGTGACAGGGCTGCTGGGGGAGGATTGAGTTTGGGTCAGGGCATGTGAGGCCATGCCCTTTAGTGTATTGGATCACATTCAGCATTGTCAGCTCTATGCTAATTTGTCATTGCTGTGTAGGAGTTGTATCACTATGAAACCATATCCTGCTGAATTAACAACTGGTCAATGAAGATTGCTTAATACGAAAGTTCAAACATCCTCCCCTTGGAAATCTCAAGTATTACTACATCACCATATTACCTATTTGCCTCAAATTAATAAAAGTACCTCATAAAACCTCTCTCATATAAATAAGAGTGATCATCAATTTCCAAAAAAATGAGGCACTTAAATTATGTATGATTCGTTCAAGGTCACAAACGGAAACAATTGCAGAACTGAAAACTGCAATTCTGATCTTTTACCGTCATCAAATAAACATCTTTACTCCATTCTGAGATGTATCAGTGTAAAATTAAAAAAGAATCAATCCTATCAGATATGTCCATTATCTATTTCATGCTTATTTTCATCATATTCATGACAGTCTATAAAAGGTAGTATCACGTTCCTTTTCTATAAATCGTCTTTGTAGGAAATGACCACTGTAAGTCCAAGTAGACTGAAGGAGTTATAACAGAGACATATATATATATATACCACAGAGACTGTGAACAACCTGGGCAAAACAATAGAAATGAGATAAAATATCCGTAAAATCATTACCTCTTCATTTACTCACATGCATCTATTAAATCTGGAAGAGTAACGTGCTTAGCACAGGCCTTGTTGCTGGAAGATTGTGCAAAGTTCTTTATATCTTTCAAACACATTAAAATAGGGAAAAAATTTTTGAACTCTCATTTATCAATGGCTGCTCCAACAAAAGGAAATAATGTATAGAGAATGAAATCAGAAATAGTAGAAACTGAAGTAGCTAATTCTGTCACAAGCCTTCTTTTTGTCACGTCAGGATTGTTCTCTACAGATTACTTTCTGTGCATAAGCACTGGCAAGATTTATTATCTTTCCTATAGACCTTCCAGTACTTCAAGGAGGCCTACAGGAAAGCTGGGCAGGGACTCTTGATCGGGGGGGGTGCAGGGATAGGATGAGGTTAACAGTTTTAAACTGAAAGAGGGGAGATTCAGATTAGGTACAAGGAAGAAATCCTTCCCTGTGAGGGTGGTGAGGCCCTGGCACAGGCTGCCCAGAGAAGCTGTGGCTGCCCCCTCCCTGGCAGGGTTCAAGGCCAGGTTGGACGGGGCTTGGAGCAACCTGGGCTGGTGGAAGGTGTCCCTGCCCATGGCAGGGGGGTGGGACTGGGTGATCTTTATGTCCCTTCCAACCCAAACTATTCTATGATTCTATGATTATACATTTTTCATTCAGAAATACTTGACACAGTGGGATCTTTATAGTTACTTTGGCAACAGTTAATCAGAAGAACGCTTCTTAGCAGGATTCAGTGTAGACTCTCCACTGGAAATTAGAAAGGTAGATAATTTGAAGGTTCTCTATGCCTACTGCCTGTCTGCCTTAGCACCAGTCATTATTCCATGAAAGTAACATGTCAAATGGAAGGTGAATTGAAAACATGGTCGTGAAATTTATTCTCTTCTTCTGAAGGTGACACAAAATAAATTTAGATCAGCTAATTGGGGAAAAAAAACCAAGAAGAAAACATCTTCAACACCAAGTAGTATGCAAGACCTGGTTCAAAAGGTCTTCAAAGGCCTGTGAAACAGGCACTCGGTGGCTCACAACAGTGGCCAAAATGGATTCAGGTCTAAATAAAGGCCAATAAAAGAATATTAGAAATACAGAAACACCCTCCAAAAAATGTTGTTTTCAAATGGAGGAAAAAAAACCCATAGTGAGATTTTAAAAGAAAGTAAGGCAAATCAAAAATGGTTCTGAGAAACATTTTACTAAGGCAGAAACACTGTGAATGCAATCCTCTTTCAAACACTTTGAAAGCAAGAAATTTTGCTGGAAAAATCTTTAAGGCCAACAAGTGATAAGTGTACACCAAAAGAAGATAAGGCTGTAGTAGAAAGCTAAACAAATTCTTCATGTCTTTGATAACCACAGTATCTTATATTAGTCTTTCTTAAAAGGGAATGAAATGGAGGATCTGTTGTGAAGTGAAATGTCAGTACAAAAGGTGTTAGAACAAATCCATAAAACAAATAGTGATAAGTGTGCTCCTAAAGGACATACTAATCATGGTATGTAATCTGTAGCACACAATAGGATCTGTCCTCAAGGAAAGGAAGGTGGCAAATTTGAGGCCAACTTTCTAAAAAAGCTTCAAGATGGACCTGTAAATCTGATGTCTGTCCTATGCAAACTGATAGAAATTACACTAAAGAACAGAATTGGCAGGTTCTTGGATAAACATGGCCTATTAGGGTAAACTCAACATAGTTCTTTAAGGAGAGTTTGTTCTTCACAGATGTATTAGTTCTTCAAAAGAGTCAAGAATTGAGGTAAAGAGCCTTGCTAGTGAACAATTCTTCCACTAAGCGATTTCCTTAAAATTTCAGATTTTGCTAATCCATGATTCTAGAATTATCCTATTTGGAAGCAGTTAAGTAGTTTTTATATGAAACAGTTTATTTAAATGTACAACTCAATGTACCTTTCTAAATTATATTAGTGGAATAATGAGATTCTCTGCTTACCTTTTCTCTCTTCTTTATTCAACCCAGCAACTAGGAATCTTTGTAGCATTTTGCTGTCATTTTTGCTGATTGAGCAAAATTAGACTTCCAGAACACTAACTAAAATCTGACTACCTGGAAATGCATTTTCTTTACTTAGAAATAATTTGCAGAGGAAACAAAGGAGTCCATCTGAAACATAGCAAAGGTTTTTCTTCAAGACTCCTCCTTCAGTTGCTTTCCCTTGAGCAAGCCTTTAATTTGGGTGTTTAAGTCTTAAGATCAGTATGAGCAGACAGATTTCCACTTTCTGTTAAAAAAATTATAGCCATATTGTATATTGTCCAAATATTCCCTAAATATGCATTTGGATTTAGTTCAAGTGACAACCAAGAGCAAGTCATAATTTCTCTTCAAAAGCCCAGATATTCCCAACAGTTTCTCAGCCTTTTTCTCCCATACCTCAAGTGAACTTACCCATGCTCCCCAGCCCTTTATATTCCAGAAAGAATATATAAGCTGGAAATGCCAGAATGACTCAGCAGCAATGACACTGAACTTGCAAGCAGAGTTCAAGCAGTTTACACTAAGATGACTCATTAAAATACCTTGACATCTGAAGATGGCTCCTAGAATATGCAGCTCTACTACACCCACTTACCATCTGGAAAGGAAATTTTGAGTTAGTTTAGATCTTACAGAACAAATCAGAAGCAAAAAGTGTAGTTTTGTTGAACTAGCTGGGATCAGCTATTACACCTATGAGATGAACTTAGATGTATGGGGTATTTTTGATTCTATTATCAACAATGCTAACATTATTAATTAACATTAATAGTGACTAGAAATCTTCCCAAATAGTCAATGCTAAGAACAATGAATTAGAATCGGAATCACAATTAAATGGCAAATGGGATGACATATCTCCATATCTGTATGGAGATGAGTAATTCTTAGAAGTGACTATAACTTCAGTCAAATTTACTCAAAATATCATAACTAATGATAAATAAAAATGTGTTAAGCTTTTAGAAATGCATTCAGCCATCTGGGTTAGGACAGATTTTCTTTTGTTTTCATCAGCTGATCAATTAAAATCAATTAAAATTGATAGCAAAGTGCCAGATAATTTCAGAATCACTGACAAAATGCATAGATTTTCATTGTGAATTATGTTGATACTAGGCAAACAATGACCACAGAAGGAAAGTAGAATTCAATCTCCAACAAAATGAGAAGAGTTCACATTTTTCCCTACAGAATCTTCACATGACAATTACATACACCTGCACTCATATCTATCAAAAGAGAAGCCAGACTGCATATTGCTTGGCCACTTTTCAAACTGACCTTGTACTGTGTCACAGAAAACTGTGGTACTTCTGTAATGACTTCAGTAACAGACTAAAATGAGGTCTATAGGTCCCGATTATCCTTAATAAATGAACAGTCCTTAGTTCTGCAATTAATCTTGCTGGATTTAGATTAATGCGCTTGTAATTTTCAAGGGTTTATAATTCATACCCCTTTAAGGTTACATAATCAAACCTGGCAGATTTCAAATAGAATATCCTCTATTAAAAGAACCAGATTCAGAATATATGTAACATTACTGAAATGGTAACACTCTACAGGTTCAAAATCTCACTGCAATGTTGTACACAACACTGAAGGGCAAATCCAGGAGGAAGCAGAAGGCAAGGTTCTTACAAAATTCAGTAATCACTCTACTGAATAGAGACCAAAGAAATGATCCATGGCCTATGTCAGTGATTAAAACTAAACTGGTAGGTTCCCTCTCTTATTATTACGTTTATGAGCCTTCACTGATTGCATGCTGCAAACAGTACCCTTGTTAACAATGTCCAATTAACAGTTCAAAGATTTAGCAGGTATGGTGACATTTACCAGAATTCCCTTAATGTCAGTGATTCAGATCAGCTGGTAAAGCAGTATCTTTAGAGACTCTCATGCAGTCATATAGGTCACATATGCTATTCTCTAGGATCGTGAATCTTTTTGAATGGTTCTTGCAAAACAGTTTTCTCAACTTTTGTTGAAGTTACCTATGTGTAGTCATGTTACGCAGATGTATAAAAGTTTAAGGAACTGTCCTAAAACAAGGGAAGTGACTGACACTAGCCAGACCCAGACAGGTTCTGATTAATGGGATGCCTGTGAAATTGGGTCATGACTCAGTATTTGAGGGTTTTGCCCAAGCAAGGGCTGAACAAGAGAACTCAAAGATCTGATCTGTTGATTTTAATGGGAACTGGGAGTAGGTCTCAGGTGCTCATTCACACTTTGACCTATATGCTGGATACAAAAATACTGCTAAAGCCGGAGTTTGGTTTTATTAAACTGCACTGGACTTAAGAAGGCTTGGTTTGGCCAGATCATTGTCAAAATAAAAGGCGTATTACTCTGGATAGACCCAGGCAGTATCTCTTGTTACAATCCCATGGGGACTCTGGACTACACACCACTCCACCTCAAATTCCTGTCATACCAGAACTGGAGCAATGTAATGACTCTTATCCTGATAAACACCCCTCCTGTTTTTTAAAGAAAAACAGGATTTGATACATATTGACGTGGTAACTCTGACCCGCTGGGATATGGCGAGATCAAGTACAAATAACTGCTCTATTTTAATCTGTGTCAAAGCACTCCCAAGTGGGGATAAATTTTCAGAACAGGTCAGTTCAAAGTGTCACCACAGTTACTAGTTAGAAAAATTTTAAAGTCCTATCCATTTAATTAGGTAATGAAACGGTATTTGAGCTCTTATGAAGACCTGGCCGTATGTAAATAAAAGCTAGCTAAACATATTTGTATTAAAGTGGACACGATGATAGTTAAATGTAGCAATCTGATAGCTGAAGTACATATATGTTCATACAGACATACTTATATACTAGAGGGAGGGAGCCTATAGTCTCACCTTTAAGGCTTGGAAGATAGTTCGGTTTGCACTTGCCCTTTTCTCTCAAAATTTTAGACTGAAATTTTGGTGATGGTTTCAGCAGTCTACTGTATCACTTAGCTGTGTAGTATCAGCTCCTAGCTGTGTCCTGTATAAACAAAACAAAAAAGTTGCAAATAGCTATTATCAAGATACTTGAAGTATGAAATACCTATACAATGCCTTGCATCATACACATCAGCTGATAAGGATTTTACAAGCATCACTTGCAGCACATGACCATGGTTTTCTTTAACTTGTGTGCAGCTGAACCAGCACACTCCACAGTCACTTCTCATTGGGGCTGCAAGCATTGCAATAATTTGGCTGGTCCTTTTTCTTGTCTCCATCTAGTACTGCTCAGTGTTCACTAAAGCCTGGAAAGAAGAATGCCTTTTTTGCAGTCAGTTTTCCCTTTTCATAACTTGCCCTTGTGCAGACAGATTGCAATTTGAAGAAAAATTCTGTCTATAAAATACTGGGAAGCATCTTCAGTTTTGGAACACTAGTAAAATGAGCCCAATTTTAGACCTCGCCCTAGAAGACATTTAGAGACAGAACAAGAAGACTTTAATTTCATATGGCAATAGCTCTTTGCTTCCCAAATTTATAGAAAACTAGAAGAAAAAATCTGAGCTCCAACAAAACTTCTAAATGTGTTATAAATTGCACTAGGGGTCCATCAGAATCTGAAAAAAAAAAAAAAAAAAAAAGGGTATCAGATATTTATGGGTAACAGGAGCTAGAAAATGAGTTCCTTTTCCATTGATACTTGCAATAAAACCAGCAGAGACACAAACAAGAAACAAGGAAGTTTTGTTTGTGAACAGATTTTTCATGTGTTGTTGGTCAAAAGCATTTTTTCTTCCCAATTTTCAGGTGTCAGGTTTTTTCCCCAATATCTTTTCCCCTTCAAAAAAGAAAGAGACATTTTTTGAGAATGGTCTAATTTAGTTTAAAATCAATTTTCATTAAAAATAATTATGTATGAATAATGCTATAGATGGAGCACTAACCACTTCACATAGATTTAACAGAACTACTGAGCACTCAGATGAGAAAGGCCTGCAGGGCTAGAATTATGGTTTATATGCTGTCTGAAATGGTTAGTTCAGGTCAGCCTGTAGCATATTCTGAGCTCAATTTACATTTGGCTCAGACTTGAATGCTGGGCATCAGTAGGTAGGCCATAACAATTAACTGGTTAGTGGGATGACTTAACAACAATCAAATGCTAAGTACTATTTCTCCAGGCCAGATATACCTGTGACCATTTAAGGAATCATTTTCCAGTGAAGAGCCATTTACTTCCAGCTGGAAGCAAAGAGTTTTGTCACTTGCTTTTTTTTATAAATGGAAGAGTTAAGAAAATCCTGTATGATTATTAACGGAGTACATTTTATTTTTATTCCCTGAATACTGTAAAATATTTAGTATTGTCTGAGCAGCTAACTGTGGTTCTATGACCTGTTGAGTTGGCACAGTAGCTCTGCAGCAGTGAAAGCAGCATACCTTTCTTTTGGACTTATCCTGCTCTCTGGCTTATCTATCTGTTCTGACTATCAAGTTCACCTTTCGCAGAGTTAATTTAATTAACTAGAATGGTGGAAGATGCCACTTTTTCTTACCCTCTATATACTTGGCAAGCTAAAATGGATCAGAGTGGTCTTGCAAGCAATAGCTAGCAAATAAAAGTAAGTAGCTGAAGTTTATGGCTGGGATGAGAAGGGGAAGGAGGGAAGATAGGTGAGAAGAGAACCAACACGCTGTTATGCCGCTCCTGCCATGTTGTGAAGCGATACCCTGTGGCAGCCACTTGAATTTGACGTACATGCAACCCACCACCAATGAACTATGGTCCCGTTTTTTCTCCTGTGCTGTCCTCAGTTGTGCATTCCCATCACGTCCTTTCTGCCTGCATTTGTGTAGATATTTGCTGAGACTGATCACAGAACTGATCTGATTGAAAATCATGCTGTTGTTGGGTTGATTTTCAATTCATTTCCCGCATCTATCCTGGCACAAGGAAGGTGATGGAAGCACACACTTAGGGCAGGACTGCCTCTTCTGGCAGCAGCAGGCACTTAGGTCACCTTACACACCCAGCAAGTCAAGAAGTGAATAAAGAAAAGTGACTGCAGAGGTTTACAGCCATGCTGGGAAAACTGTGAACATGTAGAAATGGTTGCAGTATTGTAATGGGTTTTTTAAACACTATTCCAGTTGGTATAATGGAAGCCCTTCTAGTTAGAAAGGTGAGGGTATTTTCAGTACTTATATAGATATGAAATCTATTTTGATAGTGTATCTGACTGCCTGGAAGCCTACTTTTATCTAAATTTATACCTGAGAAACCATATACTTTTCATAGAACATCAATATAGTGAAATTACACCCATTAAAGCACTGTAGATCATGATGCTTGTTGGCACATCTGCTAAGCAAACCCCTTCCATCATTAGACAATAATCCACACTGAGAGCACATGTAAACTCACTGAAGTTTAGGGTGGTCTTTCCTAAATGTTGAACACACTGACCTGATAATTTTAATCTCACATCAGACTAATTATGAATTGTTTAGTAAAGGCAATGAAGTTGGAATGTAGTAAATTTTCTTAATGTGAGGAAAGAATCAAGCTCACTGTTTTTACTTTGGGAACATGGATAGAAAAGAGTACAGGTGAAAGGTAACTCTGAAGTAGCTTCTCATCACAAGTATAAACAACTGAATTGTTTTTTATTTTAATAAGACTTGTTATTTTGTGAATAAGCATACTGTCTGCAAAGTGTTGACTGAAACCCAGACCAGGTTTTGAATTTGTACTGAAACCTGGAACCAAAAGAAATTATTTAGAGCTGAGTACCACATGCATGTACAATAAAAAACACCACAGTAAATATAGGTGCGTTTGCATGACAGCTGAGTACTCTATACTAATTTAAACAGTGGTAGCCTGACTGTTTCCTAAAATATCAGTAGCCCAATAGTCAACTGTTAGAACAGTGGCAAAACTCCCACTAACTAATGGAAGCCAAATCTGGTTTGTTTGTTTTGTCTAAATAAAGAATAAATGAAGTTTCTTCAAAATGTAACTTTAATCACTACCTCTGTTACACAGCCTCACTGCTCAAGCTCCAGTTCTAGCAGATATCTTGGCTAAATGTCAAACAATTCCATCAGCATTTTGAAGACAAATATTAGACAGAGCCAGCATCTGAGATAATTTCCCCAAGCACCATTCAATTAACCTACTTGGCTAAAAGGTGATGCAAAAATCAATATTTTGTAACAGATGCTTGTGTTTCAGATGAAACTAATCAATAGGCATCAGAGCAATTTCAAATTAAAGAGAAATACAGACAAAATATCGAGCAGTTTAGGTACTGAATGTATTGCAGCTTAAAACAGCTCTATTATTTTGGGCAGGATATTCCTCCAGTTACAATTTCAATATATAATTTCTTTTATTAAATTAATTATAAGTTTTCTAAACAAAAAAATTAAAAATTATTGTCATTTTGGCAGAACTCACAAAACAGATGCGAGTTCCCCCTGTTGGTCCTACAGCAGCTGTTAACTGGAACAATGCATTAGGTTTCCTTTGAGTATAGACCTGAATATCTGGAATTTTTCTGTTTGCTTTTTCACAAGCAGTTTTCTGCCCTCTACTCCTTTTAGCCTTGTACATACACAATGAGATGAACACAACAGGAGACCCAGCTTGGATCCCAAAGGATAAATTTTAGGATCAGAGGGTGTGCTATTTTGTACCTACAAATAATGCAAGGAGACATTAAACATGCCAGTGAAATACAAACAAACATGGCAGCATGAACAAGAAAAGTTTCTTATTCACAAGCCTTTTAACAGGAAGGGCTATCAGTAAAAAAGAGGAACAGTACAAAATAAGCTTATTCTCATCTCTGTTTTTCTTTATACTATATACCCTCCAACCAAATTTACTAAAGTAAGGCATAGGACATGCAGAAGCACTTCCAGTGAATTGCCTTGGTTCCATAAAACCACTGTGACACTTCTGGCCAGTGGCCTAGTTCTCTTTGGTTGCAATAGCAGTTTGCTCTTTGGAAGCAAAGTGCATTAATAACTTATTTTCTACACTTAGTGGGGAGAAGATAAACATTTTTTCCAAATAAATAACCCCAATGCGTTACATACGGGTTTCTCTGCATGTGAATTCTTTGCCTTGGTAGGGCACTGTGAAGGCAACCCCCTCTCTGTGGTTCCTTCGCAGTTGTCAGTGTAGATGTGGGATAGCCATGGAGATGCTGCAACTGTCAGGTGTTGGTGTCACACAAAGGCTGCTGCTCAGCTCTGCTCCCCAGGGACAAAACAGTAAGGCTGCCATCTTCGCTAGTGAAGACTTACATGGAGGATACCATCTACTCTTCTTTTTCCTGAATATCCTCAGCCCTCAGCCAGACCAAAAGCAAAATGTAAGATCTGATTGTGAGAGCCCCTCTCCTTCCAATCATTTTAAGGAATATCCATTAAAGGTTTGATCCATTAGATGTTTGATCTCAAGGATGAGAAGAAGGCCTTAAGAGCAAGCCCAGATGCAAGTTTCATTTTAACCTCTACTCTTTTACAGGTTCTATTTATTTATGAAGACCCAAAGCTAGGTCAGTGTATACCTATTATATAGGTCAGTGTATAACCTATTATATAACAGCCTAAACTATTTTGCTGTTGACAAGCTATTGACCTTTGGAATGCATCTCTTGTAACAGAAAGCATGTGCATCTTCTCGCAACATTTTTACAGCATTTACCAAATACTCCGTAGGATGGATTCTCATTCCCACTACAGTTATTAATAACAAACTGTGCATTGCTGCAGTATAAGTACTGATTCACCAAAGAACACTAAATCTGATTATTAACTCCTGTGATTGTACTAGTCTGCCAGTGAGGAATATATTTTAAAAATGTGAGTGATTTATAGGAACCCTTATGATTTTATCACCAAATGGGCAAGAAAGGTAAATATTCAGAAAAAAAAAGCCCTAAGACATCCTATAAATTCTTTTTCTGCATTCCTTTAGAGTTTTTATCAAAGCGAGGAAAGTGATTATCATCTTTAAAAACA